GCTATAATTACTGATTCTCATTTATGTAAAGCACAAAAATCGCAAATGTAATGGTCTCGACCTTCAACTTTCGATTGAAAAATAGAAGTAACCAAAAAAAATCAGCAAATCAAAGTATTTCATTACTCAATTTTTTATATTGCTTTTAATTATATTATTATAACTGCTGTCTTATTTGTTTTGCATGCTACACTCTATCTGTTTATGTGTTCCTGTTGGATCATTCACTTTATTAATGTTCCTTTTTCTTACTTGTATTTATTTTAAAAAATAGATAGTAGTGTATGTTATTGTGAAATTATTGATATTTAATTTTGCAGTTTTCTTTCCATTCATAAAGCAGAAATTGGAAAATAACTGAAACTAAAATTTCAAAATTAAAAAAAAAAAATTTAGTGATGCATGGATAATCATGTTTGGTCATATCGTATTGACGCTTATACAGGTACTTGTAATACTTGGATTTCTTGGTCATTTAAGTGTGCGACTTGGATTACAACCAATCGAGCTTCTTGATCGAGGTTTACTTTATTCTGATTTTCCCATCTAACTTTGAAACTCTAATTTTTTGGATTAAATTTGCAAAAATTATTAAATTAATTTTCAGGCGAAATTTATTTCAAAATTTTTTCATGAAATTCACTTTTGCCTATTATCATAAGGATTTGGATTTTCTTTGAGCTTTAAATTTGAAACTATTTTTTCAGGAATTTTTGATAAGATATTATAGCATTCATCCAATTTCCAGACGACTTTTTTATTTTTTGACTCGAAGAAAAGAAATTTTGCAGGGGAAGCGCAAATGTGGCATATTCTTACATATATGTCATATATACCGGATATACGGACATGGACTGCAATTCTTTTGTTTATGTGCATTTTCGTCTCACTCAACATTTTTGCAAGTTTTTGTTATTGTTTTCTCCTAAGCTGCCACAATCTCATATTTTAATATCAGTATCAGATTTTTAGTCGTACCGATTCTGGGACATTCACTTCACTTCTAATTATATGAATTTGTTAATGGTCGGAAGAAATGACGTATATCTTTTAGTATCTTCTCACTTTGAACATACTGGCAACGTTTGAAGATGCATTCGGTGAGAAATCGTCCCGTTGTTTTCCGCGATTCGTACTCGACCTTTTTATCTGTTGTATTGCTTTCGTCGCTGGCTTTTATTTCGCTACAGAGGTAAAGAATTACTTCACCAGAAATTTCAATCAAATTTTATTGTTCAGGTGTTTAACAGTTGTCACTGTCAACACTTTTATTTTGCGTTATGTAGTCCGGAAATGATCCAAATGGACAGTGAACAGTTTAAATACTCCTCTTGAGCATATTTGACAATACTTAGGATTTGGTAGTGGGAACTAACTATTCTTATCTTCATTTCCTATAATCGTAGTAATTTGATTTTGATCACTAAACCAATTTAAACTTGCCTCCACCACTGACTTATTCGAAGGAAGAAAATTTTTGAAATCCTACAC